CACTAGCACGGGAAATATGCATATATAAAATATATAGGCATACTTATTTTTTATTTAGTTTTTTATGTACTTAGTATAAGGTCTACAGGGTTTCACAACACAGATTGGACTCATAGTGATCCTCCCATTTTCAGCCTCCCAAGTGCTGAGATTACAGGTGTGCACCACCACACCCAATCTCATTTGCTGGTCTCTGCATGCCTTGGGGGCAGGCCAGCATGGCCACCGGTCCCTGGGTCTGCCTAAGCAGGCCCTTTAATCCGCTGAGCTGTTGGGCTGTCCCTATATGTATACTTACAGTATGCTTCTTTTTTTTTCTTTGTTTTGTTTTGTTTTCTGTATTTAGGACAGAGACTACAGGGTTTACAGGGTCTCACTATGTACATCAAACTCGTAGGTGATTCTCCTGTTTACAACCTCTCAAGCGCTGGGATTACAGGCGCCCACACCCAGTCTCAATCCCCAACTCAGTGTGCCCCAGGTGTGGGGCCAGGACAGCACACTAGGCAGTGAGCCCTGGCTGCTGGGCTCTACTTAAGCAGCCACTTTAGTCTGCTGAGCTATCATGCGGCTGTATGCTTTTTTTTTCACAAAATTTTTTTATATTCTTTCTAGTTTTGAGTTCTAAATGCATACTGTTGGTTTATGTAGAATAAGTTGTGTTGTGCATTTGTAAAAATTGGATGTGGTTATCTCTTCTAACTGCAGACATCAGCCCACCAGCACAAGGAGTGGACCACAGACAAGTACAGAAAGAACTGGGAGACGTCCTTGTTCGCCTGCACACGCCAGTCGTGCTGACCCCCACTACCGTGCAGGTTACCTGGACGGTGAGTTTTCAAAGGTTACATTAGGTTTCTTACACAGGCACGAAGGCTGTCTATTCTCTTAACAAAAATAAAATAAAACCAAAGAAAACTGCAAATAGACAAGATCAAAGTAGCAATTAAACCCCTCTAGCTATTTAAGACCAAGGTGTATTCAATGACAATAAGGGAAAATATCCATAGATAAAAGAATGAGTAATAGAGTAACAAATCATGATATAAACATGAACTTTCCATCTTCTGAATTTTTAAAGTTTTATTGAGCCATAATTAACATGCTCTGCAAGGAACAAATGAATCTTTCTAACATACTAAAGGGATTTGAAGTCGTACCAAAATCTAACTTTAGAGCATTTCATCACCCCCAAATGAAATCTGTGTCCATTAGTAGTCATTCTGTTCCCACTACTTTACTTCAGTGTACCCACCAATTCATTCTGTGTTTCTATAAATTTCCTTATGCAAGACCTTTCTTCTAAAGAGCCATGTGGTGACTCTTTGTTTGGGACTTCTTTCACTCAGCTCAGTGCTTCCGAGGCTCTCTTCTGTTGCGGCGTGGAGCTGTGCTGTGTTAATGCACTGCATGGCAGTATTTCCTGCCACTCTGCTCAGGGCAGTGGTCCCCAATAGCACGGTAGCCAACAATATTGCGTGAATTCAATAGTGCATTTGTTGTATTGTTTAGTGTTGTCTTCAACTTAGTTATTCACATTATTAGATAGAGACAAAATTGCAAAAAGAAAGAAAAAAGTTATAAGAAATTAAGAAGAAAGAATACTATGAAAAGAGAAGACAAAAGAAAAACAATTTAAGTGTTAACTGCTCCTTTCCATAAATTATCAGAAATCCAGAGTACAGTTCTCCGAGCTAGCCTGTGTACACGCATAACTATATCCCCTTTTCACTTAAGGCCCTCTGGGTTGTTTCAGCTTTGGGTGGTAGGTACACTGCTGCCAGGAGACTTTGTTATGTGGACATGCATTCTCATTTCAATTTTATACAATTAAAAATTGTTAAATCATATGCTAGCTCTTTGTCTCAGTTACTCTTCTCTTTTGCTGGGACAGATACTCGACATCCAAAATGAAGGAAGGAAAGGTCTATCTAGCTCCCAGTCAGTTGAGGTTTCAGTCCATACTCAGCTGGCTCCCAGGCAGAGTGGCACATGGCAGAAAGCAGCCAGCTGTTCATGGTGGCCACAAAGAGCAAGAAAGCAAGAGTTAATGGGCATAGCAGCAACAATGGCTGCAGAGCACAAGTCTGCCTCCCTTTTGTAGCACTCAGGCTATCTGCCCCAGGCCAAGTGTAGCACTCATACCCATTAATTAAGCAGTACTTAATTAATGCTAGCAGCACTCACACCCCTAATCCCAGCACTAGATCATGAATTAATCACAAAGTCTGCAAGTCTGCCCCATGACTGCATGAGGCTTTGGGGGAACAACTAGACACAAATCGTAACACTCCTGCTTGATGTTTTAATGAACTGCCAAATGTTTTCAAGTGATTGCCTCATTTTTTCTTGCAAAGTTTTAGCTTTCTAGCTTTTTTAAAAAATCACCTCAGTGGACCTCCAATCCTCATCAAATACTGACTCTATTTTTGGTTGTAGCAATTCTAACATGCGATGCAAAATCATTGTGATTTTGATTTGTATCTTTTTAATAACTGATGATGTTCGTCTTTTCATATGCTTATCAGGCATTTTGTATTTTTTCACAGCAATTGTTATTCAAGTTATTTGTCAGTTTTCAAGTTAGATTGTTTATATGTCATCTTATTGTAGACTTGTGGGGATTCTTCATGTTTTAGATATGCCACTTATTAGAAAAATAATATACAAATATTGTCAGTTTGTTTCTTTTTTTTCTGATGGCATCGTTAGGACAAACTATTTTAATTTTAATAGATTTACATTTTATATTTAAATGAATCATCTGCACACTCTTAATCTTCATGAAACAGACTCAAAACAAGTTATACAGTTTTAATAATTTGATATACATAGTCAAAAGTTAGAGGACATTATGAAATACATGGATATTGTCTTATACTTTAGGAAAGTTCCTGTATTATGGAATATTAATTGTGTCAGAATACAAGGACAAGATACTTTTATCAGATGGTAGCTACTAGAGTAAAAACAATAGCACACAAACAATATTGTAGCAGAAAATCTTAATATATGTGTGAAAAAAGCCCAATAAAGTTATTCTCGGCTAATACAATTAATACCAGCTTTTCATTTATGACCAAGTTCTCTTCCTTACATATCCTTAAAATCTAAAGAGAAATATATTAATACAATACAAATATACAATTGCTTGAAGTTCACTGTGTATTTAGAAAAATAGATATGAATAATGAATATTAGAATGGATATAAGTGGAAGAATTTTCACTTTAATTATGATGTTTATTTGGAAAGTGTATATAATTATATCTGTCTTGTTTGGGGTAATTATTTAATAAAAGTAAGACTAAGCTTATACTGATTAGTTGGGAATATAATGTTTCTAAAATCATTTTAATAATATTTTGCATAGCCTGAGTTCCATATAATGATTTCTGTCCTTTTGATATTATGAAAGGAACACAATCCTCTTACCAATATTCCACTGGCACAGTTACAATTATATCTGCTGCGCTTTTTCTTTTTCTTAGTATCTTGAACTAGATTAAAAAATAAAACAGTAGGGACCGGAAGTTTGATCTTCAGGCCTGCCATCCTGGCCCCGCCCCCAGGGCGTGCTGAAACAGGAGTTGAGACTGGGCGTGGTGGGGTGAGCCTGTAATCTCAGCTCTTGGGAGGCTGTAATCAGGGGGATCACTATGAGTGTGAGCTACACAGTGAGACCTTGTACACTGTGTCCTAAATACAAAAACTAAAACTAAAAATAAAACAAAAACACAGACACCCAAACAAAGAAATAAGTGTGTTTTTCTTAACAGATTTTTCTTTCTCATTCTAAATTGAAAACATGTTTTTTGCTCTATTGAACATTTGAAAGAGGCTTCTTTTTAAGTGTTTCTAAATTAGGGAAATATTTGGGTAAGAATCCAAGTCATTGTGTTTAATGTTCACCACTTTAAGATTCACTGGGTTTAGGAGTACATCAGGTTAGATGAAAAATGCATGTTTGTAAGATGAATGTTTTTCCAGGAAAAGAGGAGAGAACAAGCCATATTCTAATGTCTTTAAATAACTTGCATAGTTCACATGTTTGTCTCCCTCAGAGGTAGTGACCTCTGTGACTCTACCGATAATACTGGTTTTCCAGAGCCCAGTGCTTAGTATGAAATACTCCATAAGTAATCGTCTAAGTCAGAGATCATATCAATTATTTCGTACTCCTTTATTTTTGTTTCAAAAGCATATGGGACTCCTACTGTCACATGTTGTAATTCCTTATGAGTTCTTAGTTACATGAGATAGGAATATCTGAGAGAGCTTAGGTTTAATTAAATCAAGTCAGGTTGGGTATAGGCCCAGTTGTCAAAGAAATTATACATTTTTTCATATATTTTTAATTTGTTAAGTATATATTTGTGTGTGTGTGTGTGTGTGTGTGTTATTTGAATGATCACATTATTAGTACTTAAGTTATACATTGTTGGAACTCCAGAGAAGGAATATATGCTCTGGCTTATATATCTAGATTTGATTTCAGCTTACAAGGTAACTGAAGATCTGCAGGATTCAAGTGTCAAAAATACATGACATTTGCTCCAGGAAAGGCAGCTCATCTCCACGGCTAAAATTAAAGCAAAAATTGACAGTGGCTTCTTTCTGAGAAGTGGATTTTGTTACGACACATAGGTGAAAATAATAAGAAATAGTTATTATATTAAGAAAATGACAGTAAGTCATTTGCTGAAAATGATAGTTTTTGTGTATTCTTTTACATGTTTATTTGTGGTTTTATTTTTTGTTGAAAAACAAAAAGAATCACAGATTGGTAATTTTACTAGGTTTGAAAAGAATGCTTTTTAAATCACTCTGTGCATATATCCTTCAATCAATTTTTTCATGCCTGTATCTTTTAATCTGAGCAACAACTTTGAAGATAACAATAAGCAATGAACTGACCATTGTTAGTCTCCTATCTTGCTTTGAAATTTGCATTATTGTTTTTACTTTTTGAAATAAGTAAATAAAGCATTTATCAACTTCACCCATCAAGGAAAATTCGTTGCAATATTCTTATTCAAATAGTTTCTTATGTCTTACTTTGTAACTTGAATAGCTATTGAGCATTTCATTAAAATTTTTGGTTACAATGCGAATTTGAAGAGTGCATAGGAGTTTCCTCCAAGTTTTGTATGTTCCTTTTGTTTTACATATTTTTTAAAATATTTATTTATTTGGCACAGTATCTCACACTACACAGCTCAGACTCAGGCGTGTGCCACCACACCTCCTCCCGGTGGCCAACACAAAGCACCCAGAGCTCCAGAGTGGGCCTGTTGTGTGGTCCTGGGGATCCAACCCAAGCCCTTACATTTTCCAGGGAGGCATTTGGACCACTGACCTATCTCCCCAGCACCCATATGTGCCTTCTTTAACAAAGGAAAGCTTTATCATTGCATAGTTCTACCCTTTGCAACATTCTCTCACCTACATTAATCATTTAATTGTTTCCGAGCCTCTCTTGCTATAGGCATTATCTGACAAAATTAAGTAGACTGAGGCTCAGAAATTCTAAGAGACCATGCTACCATTGAAATAGAGGCCTTCTAACTGAAAGGATGAAGTGCTCTTCATTATGACACATTTTCCTTTGGAGAGTTCTGTTTCACTCATGTTTCAAAAAACGCTAATTATAAAAAGTTGTATAAACTGATGAATGGAAGGCTGGCCTCTGTAATCAACTCCAAAAGACCGTCTTTCCTAGGACTAAGTTACTCCTGAATCCAGTAAGAAACATATCACTGGGCTGAAGAGCGACCCCCTGTCCAAATGAGCTCCAAAAGTCAGCGGTATATCCAAACATATATCCAAAAAGTCTGCACATTTTTAAGGGAATGTGTAACCTTTTCCTCTTTACTTCCATGTGTGACAACAAATTTGCTCTTCCCCAAAATGCCAGACCATGCACAAAATTAAGTCAAACTATTTAGTTATTAAGTAGGCCATTAGTACATCCTCGTTGGAGGCGGTGCTCACTGAAGTGAGCGAGACAATGCTGCGCAGTAAACATCAGCTTCATAAAGTCCCTAAAACACTTAATTAATGAAAATGAAACATGGATAAAACCAATTTACCCTGATTTACAGACTCCCTTCATCTGGAAACAGCTGCTTAATGTTCTTCTTAAAAACACAGCTTGATTCTTTCAGTATTAACAAGCTATTATTGTGAGTTATGTCTTTCTTGCAGTATATAAATTCACTTAAAGCAAATGCGGAGAAGTTTATAAAATGTAAGCTTAATGTTGTTTTAACATATGTTGCAAGAATTTTTTTGAACTCTGACAGTTTTGATGAAAGGCATTTCTCTTTGGTTCTCATAAATTTGATTTTTTACTGTTTGATTGTTTTATGTTTTAATGTTAGAACAACTACTTTAAAAAATGATCTCAGTTGGTACCAACATGGGTGTGTAGATACAACTGAAAGGTCGCGAGCTTCCATGGAAGACCCAAAAGTGCTTTTTCTTCACATAGTTTTGTACAAATCCTAATTCCTGAAAATCTCTGGTTAGAAAGCTGTCAGATGGAGAAGGAATTCCCATTGTTGAAACTCATTTGAAAGGTTGAAATTTGCTACATGAGAAAAATCCTCATCTCTATAACCTGCAGGAAGTTTTTAGCTTGGACATCCTACACATAGAAAAATATTTTCATTCCACCCTATTTTGCTTGACATTCTACACTTTAATGTAATAAAGCAGATAATTTAATCTGATAGTTATTGATTTGCTGCCTTCACTTATAGTATTTTTTTCAAAATTTTATTGATAAACAGATAGCAATGAGACAGTTTCAAATCAAATAGGAAGTATAGTTTCAACAAATAATACACTGCATATATTCTTCTCAGTGGTTAATTGCTGTACAAGATGCAGACTTGTGATCCTATTTACAAACACCATTAGAACAAATCATTCTATTCATTAAGAGAATGCAACTATATATCTATCCTAACCACTTTGAATACACAGATACAAAATGGACATTCATCAGTATACCCCTTTTTTCTAAGTTCTGTTATTGAATACTATAGGTGTGTAAACTCAGCAAAATATTCTAAAAGAGTCCAGTAGCCCATAATAGCATTGGGTCTTCTGTTTAACTGGCAATGTCAGAAATTATTGACCTGAGTCCCCCACAGCTCAACTTCACAGCATGGCTTTACTTCCTATATTTCATCTTCATACTTTTCTACTGGATGGTTAAGACCAAGGTAAAGCAGGACCTATGCAACAAGAGTTGTAGCTTTTTGGTCTGAGAAGGTCAGTGAAATGCCCTCAGGATTTATCCTGAGATCCTGTACCTCAGATTGTAGAACCTATGAAATGATGTGACTAAAAATGGTAGAAATTAACACATTAAATAATACCTTTTATTTGTGGCATGCTGACAGTTGGATAAAGAATTTTTTAAAGCTGAAATAAATAAGCATCTACAACCTTGCCTTTTCTATTCTTTCTCCACAACTTCCTTGAAATTAGATAATTTTATTTTTCCATTAATCTTTATATTTTATTTGATAGTGAAATGTGTCAAGTTTAAAGCTTCTTGGAACATTGCTATTAAATTTTGACATGGGGTGCTAATCAGGAAAAGTGCTGTGATAATTTCTGTTTAAGCTGTACATTTCTAAAAACAAAAGGCATTTAAAAATTATGCATAAAACAATTATTTTCTCCTTCAAACTGAAATAACTATAAAACTCTATAAGATAATGTAGTAAAAATATGAAAAGAACATGTATCATATTTAATCTTTTATATGTATTTATTTTCTATATGTTTATAACTCACCAGAATACATTTAAAAATTTGTTTAATATGAATTTCAATTGAAAGTTTCACATCATCATTGAACTAGCTGCTGTCACATAAATGAATAGCTAAGAGTGTTGCCAGAACCTCAAGACAGAGATGGAATGCCTACACATACGTACTTCCTCTAGGGATAATAATGATTGATATTATTATAAATACCAGAGGCATTAATCACCTGGGTGGAGGACAAGGCCCTTGACCCATCCCTTGCAAGAAAGGTTTTTGTTCTTACACACTTGCTATGTGACTTGCTTCCCTATTGGTCAATATAATCTAAGTAATTATACTTGTAATCTTATTGGATGATCACAGTTTTGTCCCACCTTATCCCCAACTCATGACTTTGTGCCCACATCATGATTTTGCTCTATAAATTTTCCACTGAGAAGTGGGCTCTGTGGCAATCCACCTTCTGGGTCCCTTTGTATCTCTCCTAGACAGAAGCTATCTTTCTCTCCATCAATATTACATATTCTAAAAAAAAAAAAAAAATCTTATATCACACACCAGGAGGCACAAATATTAATTTGAGAACACAGACTGTGAAGCTATTGGAACGCAGAAAAAAAAAAAAAAAAGAGTGTTGCCAGGTCAATAGTAGACCTTTCTGGGCATGATAGTGAAGATTTGTAATCTCAGGTTTGGGGGCTGAGGCAGGATTGTGTCAAGTTCTAAGTCAGAGTGTACTACATGGAAAGACCCTGTATGAAAAGGAAAAAGTATGCAGACTCTTGACGGAGTTAAAAAAAAAAAAAAAAAAAAGAACAGTTTTTTGTTGAACATTTGGTCATGAATATAAACTTTCCCATGCATGCTAAACGGATATTCTAGCTTCGCGGTGTTAATCTCTCTCTTATGCTTCCTTGAGCCACGGGGGCTTTGCACATTCTGTCCTCCATTTCCTCCTCGCTAAACCAGTATCTTTCTGTGGATAACACAAGGGCTGCGGTCTTCAGGGCACCATCTCCCCATCCTGTCTTCTCAGCTTTTCTCCAGTATAAATTTCATACTTTCTGATTCGTCTCATTCCAAATTGGTTTTTGCCTAATTTTTAAGATAACAACTTGACTGTGGTTCAAGCGATGATAAGGGACACCCACCTTTCTCTTGGACCCTAAGCACCACCAGGACAGACCCTGCCTCATCTGTTTTCTCTTCAGAGCTTAGCTGAATTCCAGGCCCTTAATAGTAAAAAAATGTGTTTGCGTAAGTGAAGGTGTTAGTGAATGGCGAAGGGGTGGGAGTTGAAATCTGTGACAAGTGGCCCATTACATGTAAAACTACCAAAAAAGAGACTAAAAGGAAGAAAAGGTCAAGCAAATGAGAAATTTAGCTAAAAACAATTGACTGGTGTGGTAATTGACAGGCTGCTATGTAACCCAAAGAATCTGAATTAACTACACAGGTGTCATAGACGCTGTGCGGTGTTTAAAACAATGCGTAGAGTTGTTCCATTCTTTGTTTTAAAAATCAGTTTAGGAGCAATGTGAATTTTGAATCCAAGAGATTATTGGAAGCAGGGGGATGAATAAAATAACGTTGCGTCGCTCCTGCTTGGCTTACATGGGCTGAAATGCAAGGAGAGAAGAGAGGCTGGGCCTCGCTGGGCCTGGCGCACTTGCCTGCGGTTTCAGACCCCTTTCTCTGCTCCAGGTGGATCGCCAGCCCCAGTTTCTCCAAGGCTACCGGCTCCTGTATCGTCAGACATCAGGCCTGCAAGCTTCATCATCGTGGCAGAACGTGGATGCCAAAGTCCCCACTGAGCGAAGTGCTGTTTTAGCCAATCTGAAAAGGGGGGCGACTTACGAGATTAAAGTCCGGCCTTATTTTAATGAGTTCCAAGGAATGGATAGTGAATCTAAAACGGTCCGTACTACAGAAGAAGGTAAGTATCGAGAATTTAAATGGGAACCAAACTTACACCATGATTAAACCATATTCTGCTGTAGTCCTGAGTTATCAGCTTCCTTGTAAGACTAGAAAAAGATCACCTAAAAATGCCTTCAAGAGTTGTCATTTTCCCCTTATGTTCTGAATACACTAAAATAGGATGCACCCTCCCAATGAGTAAGTGAATAAAGAAAATGAGTCTGAGTTTGAATTCTTTAAACATTTGCCCAAATCTCATATTCGATAGTTTGTGTTTGATTATATTTCCATGTTTTTTAACATAGATGTAGTGGCTTCATTAAAGGCCAGACTATAGAACACCCAAGAATGAGGGTTATTCACAAAGATGATTCTTTTCCTGTTTTAGTGAAGTGTGACATTGTCTTTCACCATAGACATTGCCTGTCCAGACCTTTATACATTTCTAATTTGTAAAGCCACTTGCATGTTTCCCATGGCTTTGTATGGCAGAATTCCTTTATGCTCACTTATACTTAGAATATTTTAAAGTCAGTCTCTGAGGTATCAAGATTAATAAGGTCTCAAGCAGTCCATTTTCTAGTGTATTTTCTTGAAGGAGAGCCTAATCATGTCACTGGAATATAAAAGTGAGGTGGTGCTAGGCATGGTGGTGCAAATCCGTAATCCCAACACTCTGGGAAGCTGAAGAAGTAGGATTACCATTTAGTAATTTAGTGAGACCTGTTTAAAAGGAGTGGGTGGCTGTTGGCTCATTTGGCAGTCCTGTGTTCATTTCCCAGCGATGCAGAAGAAGTGAGCAGATAAAACCATCCCCAGTTCTTCTTTGAACTAATTTTGTGTGTATAGTTTGAATGCAAAGCCTTTCTTTCGACATGTCCTACCTGTAATCCAAAGCATGGACCAGAAAACATATTTTGTATAAAATTATTTAAGATCAGTTGTAAGAAAATATTGTTTATACAAACTAACCCATAGATATTCTGGTTTTAAATTACACATTGCTTTACCATACAGAGCAAAAATATTATCTTCACATTGCTTTACAGTGCGTTGTACTGGTAGAAAGGGAATGCATAGCTTGGAAAGTATCTTTAGATTACATTTGAATATGTAAAGGAAAGAAAAAAATTAGTAAAAAGTATTAATAATATTTCATCCACCATTAAAATGTATCTTATGTTGCAAATTGGTACTGCTCCTCAGTAGGGAAGACAACTTTAACCCAGAAGGTTATGTTTGAAGCTTTTTTTCCAAAAACCAGTTACACCAGAGTCAGACTTTTCCTCTGGATTAGACATTTGTTGCCATTCAGCACACATTCATCTCTGATTTCTGCGGCCTCGCGAAGGTAATAAATAGAAGTCAGCTGGGCTATGTCTGGGACGCTGAGCAGCGGTGCACGGCTTTCACAGGTGTAGGAGGAAGCTGAGTACTGGAATAATGGACCTGTCAGGAAGCAGGCCCCGTGCGCTTGCTCGCTCGCTTGCCAAGCCTGCAGCAGGGAGAATGGAAAGCCAGTTTCAAAACTGTTATTTTTTAGTATCGTCCGGCTACAAGGCTGGTAGACATGTAGTCAGATTTATGTCATTGTGACATAGGTTGAGGCAATATTGTCACATAGAAAAACAGTGAAGAATAAATTGTATTAGCCCATATCTGAGTATGTTTTCTATCACAATGCAAATACAGCTATATCTCAATGCAATATGTCATGAAAAACGTACCAACCATGGAGACCTTATCAACAGGCCATTAAAGTATTACTTCTCATACTTGGGCTATTTTTAAGGGACTAAGCTTTGTAGAGTTATAAAAGAATTGGAAGCTTTACATATAATATTTAATGACACAAAATTCTTTGATTGCTTTAACTGAAAAGGAAGCTTTTATAAGACACTCTGATTATAATTCCTCTGTTTGGTTTAAATTCAGAGACTGATTGAAAGTAAATGATTTTTCTAAAAGCAAAATTAGTATTTCCTAGCTGTCAGAGGAACTGGATGGACAACACTGCAGTCTAAAAATCAGGAACTGTTTTTCACACATCTTTTCTCAGTATGGTTTCAATTAACTGTAGGAGAAACTGTAAAAGAAAGAAAGTACAGTAGGAGCTCAAAATCTTCCCATTTCACATTTAAACCAACATGAACCTGTTTTGTTACTGTCATTGGAACCCCTTGGCCAGTCATATAAATTAAATTTTAAATTTTAATTTATGGGTCAGAATATAATTATTTTTCTGGGAGCCAAGGAGATGGCTCAGTGGAATAAGATCTTCCCTGGCATGCGCAAGGGCCTGAGTTTAATCCCTGGTTCCACCCCTCCAAAAAATTATTTTTCCATATATGGAAAAGATATTTTTCTTTGTTGGCAAAATTTATAGCTGTGTTTCTATTTGTATTTAGTAGACACAAATGAAAACAATACAAAAAGCAAAAGATTGTTAATAATACTACCATTCAAAAATTTCACCTAGTGAAATTTAGATATCTATTCTCTCAAAATATTTTTGTTTAGAAGCAATGTTTTGTTGTTGTTATTATTTTTGTCTTTTAGAAATGTCACAGGCGTGTTTAAGAATAAGACATTCCTAAGTTCAAATTCTGACTTGGTGTTCATTGTAGATAAATTGTTTGCTGTAGCCTGTTTCCTCATCTGTAAAACTGAGATAAGAGTTGCTTTTGCCTCCTGTAGTTATTATGAGAATTAAATCTGACATTTAGCTATTGCTGGCCCTATAAACACACTCATTAGAATGGTAGCTGTTAAATTTATTATTGAATGCATATTACCACACCTGCTCCTTTACTTTTCAGTATGCACTGAATTTCAAAAAGCTGCTGTGGTTGAAGTTGAGCAATATAGGAAGATTGAGGATGGTAGAGGCCAGAATCTCATAGGTCTTAACTTTCTCTTCATACTCTGAGAGGACGATAATGTGTAGAGATACTTAACAGTTTATATTTACTCTGTTGCTTCCCCTGCAGCCCCAAGCGCCCCTCCTCAGTCTGTTACTGTGCTGACAGTTGGAAGCCACAACAGCACAAGTATTAGTGTTTCCTGGGATCCTCCTCCCCCCGACCATCAGAATGGAATTATCCAAGAATACAAGGTAAGCCCTCTGGAGAAGTAAGAAAGCTCACAGAACTGCTGGAGAAGTCTCAGCATGTGACATGTAAGGCTTATCCCTGAGGAAGATATGTACACTTGTTCAATTTAAGGGCAAAGTGACTCTAGCTGTGTGTACAGGCAAGGAAATGCCCTCTAGGGTACAGGGGTAGACCCACACTTAGTTGGACCATTGAGCCCTTACACTGAATTATTTTCTGCAGAGCATGTTTCAGAAACCTCAGTAGTTTAGAGGTGAGAACTAGGGTAGGAAGATTGTGAAGCCCTCACTGAGAAACCGACTTTATCATTAGAATTCTGTCTAAGAATCGCTTCTCGGACATTTGGCTAAGAGAAGTGTAGAATTCTCTTTAAGAGACGTCAAAGCAGATTTAAACTGGGTTCTTACCAAAACAAATAAAAAATATACTTTGATATTTGGGGAGATAGTGGTATTGTAGAGATAGAAGATAGAAGTAGCAACTCCCAATCTTTAGGCTGCTTTTGCCTATTTTTTGAGGGCTTTTTATTAATTTTATTGAGAAACAAATAGTAATGAGAGAGTTTCAAAACCGATTAATAGGACAGTTTCAACAGGTAATACACTGCATATTGTTTTCTTCATAGTGGTTATTCATATTACAAGATGAGACATAATATCCTGTCCAAACACTATTAGTACAAATCTTTCTCCTCATTGAATTAAGCGAAAGTAACTGTATATCCATCCTAACTATTTTGTATATAAAGATACAAAATGGTCCTTCATTTTAATTCCCTTTTTTTTTTGTTTAGTTGTGTCAGAGCTGGGTATTCCATTGCCATTTAAATATTGTAGGTACATGAATTCAGCAAAATAATCCAATACAGTCCAGTAGTCCACAATAGTAGTGGATTATCTGTAGGGCTGGCAATGTCAGAAGTTGTTGACTTGAGCCTTTTACAGCTCAGCATATTAATATGGCTTTACTTTTTGTACCTTATTTTTATACTTTCTGCTGGATGGTTAAGACCAAGATAAAGCAAGACCTATATAACAAGAAATGTAACTTTTGTACCTGCCAAGATCAGTCAAATCCCCTCAGGATTTACCCTGAAACCCTGTATCGCAGTTTGTAGATCTTTTGTCAGTGTCAGGCATGTGGATGAGTCACAGCCATTGCTTGACCAATTTGCTCTCTGTGAAAGCCTGAGAGAATGTTTTCTCTCCATGTAACTCTCTTTAGGAATGCTCTACATCATCGATCACTTTCCTATGTGGCCCAATAATCTCTTTGATCAGAAAATTTGGGACATCACTGTGTTATAAGATGTTTCAGGACAGGTTCTCTTATGTCCTGAGTCCTCACTGACCTTGAAAGCCTTTGGCCAAAATGTTGGCTGTCCTTTCAGCCCTTCTTTTTCTCTAATTTTGGGTCTGCAAACTTGAGTTTTTAACCCTCCAGAAGAGAAGTTTAATGATATTATTACCCTATAATATTGAGCTTATCCTCACTATCTGTCTGAATATAAAACATCATAAATATAACAAGTAAGAATATTTCCCTTGAGTTAAAAAAAAAGGTATTGAAACAACAATATTTGAAAAATCTTAACTAAAAGATTTTACTTTTTACATTCAACTGGTGAATTTGTTGTTGCTTAGAAACTATATATTTGTTTATTCATCACTGTTATTGATGTTCAAGACAGAATATGTGCAGCTTTTACAATAATATTTAGCTTAATTGTGCTTTGAATAGATTAATCCTCCCCAGTTTCAAAGTAAACTTCAAAAACTTTTTGAAACTATGACTTTTGCTTTTAGAAAATATTTGTAGAATTCTGAAAATAACTTACAAAATGGATCTAATATAACAGAGAAATATATATCCCACTTTACCTTAAAAATCCACACCTGGTATGTGAAATTAAGCTGAACATTTTCATTCAAATCTGAATGTTCAACTTTATTTCTAAAACAACCACAGCCAATATCCTTGGCTGGGTCAGCGCACCCGGGGGCAGGGCTGGCAGCACATGTGGTGCTTGGAAACCCAGCCCTGTGCTTGCCTTAAGCAGGCGTTTAGTCCGCTGAGCTGTCTCGCCGCCCAACACTTATATTTTATGTAGATTTCATTAAATTTACATCACTGAAGCAAATGGATAGCCTCAGTGTATATTTGTTCAGTCGGAAATTATTTATCACATTATAAATAAACATGGTATGTTAGTGTTTCAGTTGCCCTTCTCTCATTGCTGGGACAAATATCCAACACTAAAAGTAAAGGAAGGCATGGTTTATTTAGCTCACAGTTACTAGAAGTTCCAGTCCATGCTCAGCTGGCTCCAAGGCAGAGTGGCACATGGCAGAGGTCAGCAGTTCATGGCTGTGGAAAACAGCAAAGAGCAAAAGCAAAAGACAGGAGCAGCAGCAGCAGCAGTGGCAAAGGCGAGCGTCTTTCTTTTCCTCTTATTGACTTCAGGCTGTCTGCCCCTGGGTGGGTGCAGCACCCACACCCATAATCCCAGCAGTACTCAGAACCATAATCCCAGCCTTGATCATGAATTAGTCACAAACTGTAGAACTGTGCTCAATGGCTGCATGATGGTTTGGCAGGACAAATTATGCACAAATCCTAAGAGTGTACCTAATGCTGGACAAAATTACTTCTAATACTTGTAGTTTAAAGGTGGAAAGTTTTAGATTGGTTTACAATCTAAAGGGATTCAGGCCACGGTTGGCTGGCCCTCGTGAAGGAGCCATCATGATGAAGAGGCATGGTGGAGCAGGTTGCGTGGCTCCTGGCTGAGTGGGGAAACCACAGCAGAGAGAAAGGCGCCTGGAAGTATGAACAGCACCAAGGCTGTGCCTCTGTAACCCACCGAGTCAGACATGCTGCTATTCACCTAGGTGGTTCCCAAACCAGTCAAGTTAATGATTAAGCTCACCTGCCACACATGGTTAAAAAGTCTAAGAATTAATGCCTTTATAATGGCATAGTTACACAGATTGTAAAGTTTTACAAGTGGTGCAACACTGTTTGCACACCAAAGAACCACTGTGTGGCTTGTGTGTGAGTGTCTATGTGGTGTGTGTGTGTGTGTGTGTGTGTGTGTGTGTGTGTGTCTTTAAATAAAGTTAGGAATTTATGTTTTCACCACCCAGGACTAAATAATCTAAACTGCAATTTAGGTAGGTGTTCATTTGATTTTCTTACATAATTAAATTTTATAAATTATAAGATTTCCCACTCTTAATAAGCCTGCCATAGTTTGGTACCAAAGTGTATGTTTAGGTGAGAGTTAAATACTTCCCAATTAAGAGCAAAGATGTCATATCTAAATAAAGGAAACATGATTCATAGAAATAATTTTGCTGAAAGAATTTCATGAGCTTATCTGCTTTAAAGCAAATATATGTTTGTACACATGTCTGTCTATAGATTATAAAATATTATATAATATGAATACAAATATGGAAGAATTCTCTTTATAATCATTTTACAAGAAATAGATTTCCATATCTCTGAAGAAAATATAACCTAAAATTTGATTTATACTTGGAACGAGAGCCTAACTGCTTTAACATCTGTGTCTAGAGATTTTCCTTCACCTTGTTCTTCTGTGTACCTGTTCATACGGGTGTACATGTTTGATCAGTACTAAAATTTATTAGTGTAAATAAAATGATTGCTTTTAATTTAATTTAGTCAATATCTATAATTTAGGTCAATTAATCTTGACCTAAAGGAATCTTCACTAATCCTGTATGAGTTAACATGTACTCATATGTGCTGTATATTACTCAGATGTACACATATATACTCAGATATTATGATTCATAATTACTATACTTCCAGTAGATCACTTGCATAATAAATTTTAATAAAAATGCAGAGATGATCAGGTGTGTTAGTCCAGACCAGAAAGCTGTTTGCAACCGAAGGCCAACTTCCATAGGCACTTGGGGAACCACTGTGCCCTTTAAGTTGTGAGT